TTGGCAGCTTGCGCTTACCCTTTGGGCGACCCATGTGCCCGGAGCGCGTGTGCGTCTTTCGTTGCGTGCGTAAAGGGTGTGTGTGTGTGTGTGTCCTCTGGTGTGTATATGGCGGGAAAAAATTCCCCGAGGGCGTGTGAAACCACCCGAAATATCTCCGGAACCCGAGTTTTTTTTTGAAATCGGAAAAAAATCATCGGTGGGAAATCACAAGAGGAATCGATTGCAGCACTTTATTTTTGAATCGTACGGTTGGATTGTGCCCAGGAAACTAAGCAAAATACCCTCCAATATCCGGTTTTTGCCCATAGCTCCGTTATTTTTTGTCAAGTTGGAAATCGGAAAAAAATCATCGGTGGCAAATCACGAGAGCTGTCCAAATCCGGTCTCAGATTTTGTGTCTGCAAAAAACACCGCCCTCCAGAAAGTAAGCAAGATTTCTTGAATATTTCAACNACAATAATATCCGTTTTTTTGCCCACAACTCCGTTATTTTTTGTCAAATTGGAAATCGGAAAAAAATCATCGGTGGCAAATCACGAGAGCTGTCCAAATCCGGTCTCAGATTTTGTGTCTGCAAAAAACACCGCCCTCCAGAAAGTAAGCAAGATTTCTTGAATATTTCAACATATCGAGTGAAGGACGAAAACAAAAAAATCTCCGTACGAAGATGCGCCTTGAAACGTCGATTTACGCGGTATTTTCAGATTTCGGAATAAGTACCCCCACCCCGAGAAAAGTGCACCTTTGTGCAGGGGAAAATATTGTGAATATTTGCCCGAACGGACCATAGCTCCGGCAAATTTCGAGCCTCCCTGGAGTGTCCTTCGCTTTTCAGTGTATGTACCTTTCCCAGCTGCAAACATCGTAGTGGTGATCTTCTCCAGAAGACAACACATTAAATATTTTTGCTTCAAACCTGGAGAGGTTTCGTACTTTGAAGAAGGCAGGCTGATCTACAGAAGCAGTTTGACCGCAAGAGCACGATCTATAGCGATCGTCACACTAGCAAATGCTCCAGCATACCTATTTGTTGCCTTCTTCATTCTCGGCATCCGCAGAAACAATAACAGCTACGTTCGTCCGCAAGTAAGATCAAAGGCATACAAAGTACCACCGTCTCTGATCGTTGCACAAGCGTCCATGCCACTATGGTGATACTGGGCAGCCTATCGCGGGTCCAGCCCTATCCTTGAAGCCTTGTGTTCCCGCCCACATGGTGTGCCCCAGCAGAACTGGACACAAACGCGAGATGATGTACACTGCTGTTCAAGTGTTGTGAGGAGCGCATGCTGATGATCGACCGCTGGCGCTGTATCTGGAACAGATGTGCGGTTGCATGTTGGCGTGCTTCCTCGACTTGTTTGAGTGCGCCATTCATATTAGGAACGGGCCGTGGCTTTGCCATCTGGTTCCGTATCCTTGACTTGATCGTGTTTGAAGTTGTCGAAGAATGTGGCAGCATTCTGTCCACCAGCATTCCTCAGGACATTTCCAGTCTCAGCATGGCGACGGCCGAATCCGTTGAGTGTCGGCTTCTTGTACAGTTTTTTTAGAAGAGCATGATCTGTTTTCGAGATTCTCTTGATTGAAGACGACCCACCGGGTTTAGCTGACTTCATGATGAGTGGGAAATGTTTGAAGAAGTGATCAAATCAACACGCCATCCTGAAAATGTTAAGACTACAATATTCATTCGGGCCGGCAGCTTTTTTTGTTCTTCGTGAAGCACGTTTCATTGGAACGCCGTACACCAATAGGATGATGTACACCACTCACTTGACCCTCCTATAGGGATACGTCAGACTGGCAAAGTACAAACACGAGGTCTCTGACTCAGACGCTGGGCACTCCCCCGGAATTGCTCCCGGTGGCGCGGTGTCACGAGGTCTCTGACTCCAGACGCTGGGCACTCCCCCGGATTGCTCCCGGTGGCGCGGTGTCACGATTCATACGTTATTAGTCTTGTTTGCTCGATGGGAGTTGCGCTCGAACCTGCGCTACCCGCGAGTTCGGTCAAGTGGATGTATTCACCGGAACGCCGCAACAAATGAACACGTGAAACATGACCAACTCTAGCAAAAATCAAACCCAGAAGCGTTCCGCGGCGAAGAAGTCTCGGTGAGACAGCTGAGAGCAACTGGTACGTGAGCAGCCAGCCTCAAGGGTCGTCGCCGTTGTCGCAGAGTCGAGCCCTTTTGTTTGACGGCTTCTGTGTCTTCGGCGCTTTCGTACTCTGTCTTGCAGCTGTATCCCTTTCGTCGCTCTTGTGTTATCGAGCTCTCACGTGTTTAATCTCCTCAGGCCGGCTCATGTGTCTCTCAACTAAAAAAACGTGAAGACAATGGAGGGGGTGGGGTCACATTGAAAATGTGTCATTGAGTCTGCCCAAAAAATGGGGAAGGGGAGTCGCGCACTATGGCTGCCTTAGACTGGCAATCACCACCACAAAACCATCACACCTCCGGACGCTGAGCACCTCTGAAAGGGGCGCTGTTTCGCGTTACTTACAGTT